CGTTTCTGAAAAAGAAAAGGTATGAGTGATTCGATGGGTTTTCGCATTTATTTTGTGAGCTTTGTGTTTCTGGATGCCTTCTAAATATTCCTACCTGGATGCCACACTATTAACTCAAATTCAAGGCATTTTCATGGACATTACTTTCCATGATTCTCCAGGGATTAAAGGAAGCATGTCGATGCTTTCCTCTGCCCTCATGACTTCTACAATCAGTCCAGAGAATGTAGCCACCTCATTTCCACCAGCTTCTTGACACATTGTGGAGTGGATTTGCATGCTGTCCTTTCTATGTATACAGAATGTCCCATTCTACAGTTTTGCTAGTTATTCATCTTTTTAGACCTAGCTCAGTGCAGAAGTTCCACAAAACGGTCCTCAACCTCAAAGCCAGAAATGACCTTCCCTTCTTTGAACTATTGCAGCTCCTCCAATGTCTCCTGTGAGAACATTGACACTGTGTCCGGGCCTGCAGTTATGAAAGGACAGCTTCCTTCTGGGTGGGGGCTCACAGTTCGTATACTCTCCATAGCTTTAGATGTGGTTCAATAAATATTTGCTGATCAAAGATCTTTTACTTTGTATATTGCTTATTCATTTATTTTTGGAGATGGAGTCTTGCTATGTTGCTCAGGCTGGAGTGCAGTGCAGTGCCTATTCACAGGTATAATCCTCTTACTGATCAGCAGGAAAGTATTGAGCTGCTCTGTTTCTAACCTGGGCTCCTTCACCTCTCCTTGGGCACTCTGGTGGTCTCCTATGTGGTGCTGAACTTAGCGTGGACACCTAACTGGCATACCACACTACCGCTCAGAACTCCTGGGCTCAAGTGATTCTCCTGCCTCTGCTTCCTGAGTAGCTGGGACTACAGACATGCACCACTGTGCCTGGTAGATCTCTTTTTTAATTGTTAGAGTGGCACAAGGAAGGACAGTCTGCGGGTGTGCAACAGAAAGCACTGTATTTGGAGTCGAAAGACACAGGTATCATTGTAACATCAAGGGGTTGACATGAGAAGCAATGAAGTTACTTTAAACTGAAATTTATTTACATTCTCTTACAAGAATAAATTTGAGATGGCCTATCCAAAGGAATCTTGTTGAAATATTTTATAATCCTAAAACTACATAAATATGTATCTGTAGTTTCTGGATATATATATATATGTGTGTGTGTGTGTGTATATGTGTGTGTGCATTTAACATTTACCCCTTCCCCCCAAATTTAAGACTTCCCCTCCAGTTTAAGTTACTTTCATGTGACCAAATTGCACAGTGTATTAGTGGCAGAGTCAAGGCCACAATTTACCGCCTGACCTTCAAAAGGATAAGAAATAGAGTACTTAGAGGATTAAGCTGTAATATAAGCCAGCCAAGGTAATGTTCAGGTGAGAATGTTAGTAATAACGTATGCATCGAGACCTGGGCAGGGGAAGTCATGACAAGTTTCTGGACACTGAGAAATTCTGCTAAAGCCTGGTGTTAGTGAAGCATGACAGCTAAATCCTTGATTTCAGCCATTTGTCACTAGAATACCTCCATCAGGGATTTCAGGGTGTATCCACCACAGCGTATGCTTAACTTCCAATTCTTGGATGCTTTGTGGTCTCCTTTAATTTCAAATTCCCTGGGAGTGAACCACCTTTTATCCTCAGTCTGTATACACTTCTTTGAGGTTCCTGTAAGACCAAGACAAGATGAGCTCCCCAACTGTGAAAAGACCTGAACTTGACCTTCCCCCATGCTTGGATCTGGAGCCACCCGCTTTCGGCTCAGGATCCTAGTAGTAGAGCCTGAATTTTCCACTCAGACATCAGGGGCTTCATACCCAGCCTGAAGCAACAGAGAAGAAGGTGACTCTGTCATGTGTATATATTTCTTTGACCTTCATGCAATGAGAAGACATATTACTACCAACATTTACCTTTTCAAAGTATTTTGCTATATACCAAATGTTGGGGGTGGATGGGATGAGTGGCCCTAAAGAATGAGCAGAATTCTTTCTCCTCCCTTCTCTGAGACCTGTTGTAGAGTCAGTCTTAATTTTAGAGTGGTGGATGAAGGTACAAAGCCCTCTACGGTGCTCTTGGGTTCCCAGGGGGCCATGTGGAAGCTGTTACTATAGCCAAATCTGCCTTGTCTTGTACCAGATTGTTCACTCATCAAATGACAATCAATTATGTTTCATATTTTGAACTCAAGGTTATTTTATATTAAAAGTAATTATGAAAATGTTACAGAGTGGGAGAAGTTAAATTATGCTTATGCAACATAGCCATGGGGCAAACATTTGTGTTTGTTGGTGCTCAAAGAACTATACTGTGTGTGGGGGGCGTCAGTCACAATAGATGAACACTGGTTCTGTAATTATCAATTATAATTTGCAAAGTATTTTATGTCTGTTTTTTTCTCATGATAATACGGTGAAGCAAGTTATATTAGTGTTCTGATTTTGTAGAGAAGGAAGTTCAAGGGTAGAGAGACCACGTACCTGGCTGTAGATGAATCAGACACTCTTGGTATAGCTGAAACTTGATTGCAGGTTTCTAATTCTAAACCCTGTTATCTTCCCATTTAGCAGAAGGCTTTACAGGTGTTATGGGAAATGGGGCTGTGAAAGTTAATGCTGAGATTCTCAGATGTGTACATTTTCCACACAAGTAATGAGGTGCTTGCCCTTGTATCGGTGCTAGTTGGATGTCTTGTGGGCCTTTTACATGAGGGAAAGGAAAGATGGTCTCATAGGCTAGTGTTTTATGAATTTTAAAAGTGTAAAAATGCCATTGTTGTACAAAAAAGAGTTAACATATTGGGCCTTAGACTATCCTTAGAGAGCCTATATTCAAGATTGGCCATTGTCTATGTGCAAGGCTGGCCATTGGCATTTGGGAATTTGGATTTTAGAAGAGTTCTATCATTCCCAGATCTCACTGTGGGCAAACAACATCAATAAACACATTGCTCATCCAGAAAGATAAAGCCCTTTAAAGATAAATCCCTCTTATTTATGGTTATAAATAAATGCAATTTATTTATATTCTCTTACAAGAATGAATTTGAGGTAGCCTATCCAAAGAAATCTTGTTGAAATGTTCTGTCACCTTGGAATTACCTATCCTGATGCATTATATTCAGACATATGTAAATAAATTGCATTTATCTATAACCATAAATGAAGAAGAGGGCTCACTGTAACTGAACTGTTTGCACAAAGAATACGGTTTATGCTGAACACTTGGTATGTGCCAGGCAGAGAGTGCCTATGTGACTAACCCCTGGCAAAAATCCTGGACTCCTAAACTCAGGCTGGCTTCCCTGGTAGACAACATTTTACACGCGTTGTCACAGCTTGTTGCTGCAAGCATTAAGTGAGTCCTGCGTGACCGCTGGGAGAGGATTCCTGGAGCTTGCTTTTGTTGTTTCTCATCTTCACCCCATGTGCCTTTTCCCTTTGCCATGTTTTGCATGCTTCAGTCATAAACCCTAGCTGCAAATGTGATGATGTCCCAAGTCCTAGGAGAGCTCCTAGCAAATCACCAAGCCTGGGGCTGGTTTTGCAGACCCTCAAAGCAGGTGTTTACTCCTAAACAGCATGCTATCTGTGTGAATGTTTTCCAGCTGAGATTGTAGATGACCAGCAAACTCACCTTGTTTGAATCGCTCCTTATGTAGCGTGCCCTTCACCTTACCACAGGTCACAGGAAGTTCAGGTTGTTCAAAATCAATATTTTTATCTCTGGGAATTCTTGGAGCTGCAAGGAAGCATTGTTTGTTTTCCATTCCATCTTCTTTCACAACTGTGCATTGTTCCCCCAGCCTGTCTTAAGAGCTTTCTTTTATAATGTAAAATGTATTGGAGGGATTTCCCCCATGAATCAGTTACATTTCAGAGTCTTTCTTTTATGGCACATTAGATAGCTACAGACACTGTCGTCCTCTATGCCACCCTCTAAAATCCCACACAACAGCCTAGTGTGTGGTAGGATCTCAGCTTTAAAGCTGGTTGGTCACATCCACCTATCACACAGTGATTTTCCTCCTGATGTTTGAAAGGGAGATTTCTACTCATATCATTGCTTTGATGTTATGTTTAAAAAAAACCCCTCAACTTTTAGTCTGATCTCCCCATTCCAGGCATTGACTGAGGGGACGGAGGGCAGAATGGCAATGTGGCCCCGAATGGAGCACCTTTCGGGGTGGTGCCTGTCTCCCTCTTTGCCAACTGCTTTGCTTCACTTCCCTTTCACTTGAGCTTTCTCTGTGGCTAAAAGGGAGGCTTGGTGTGAGGGGTTCCAGAAGAAATTGCACATTGAGAGAGGAGAGATGACTAGAGATTGAATGAAGGGTTCAAATACACAGTTAGAAGAAATAGGACCTGGTATTTTCAATAGATCAATAGGGTGATTATAATTAACAACAATTGTACATTTCAAAATAGCTAAAAGAGAATAATCTGAATGTTCCTGGCATCAAAAAAGATAAATATTTAAAGTGATGGATATCCCAATAACTCTGATTTGATTATATGAAAGTATCAAATTATTACACGTACCCCCAAATATTTCTATCTTATTATGTATGAATCAATCAATATAAAAGAAAGTGAGCATTGCTCAGGGAATCCTGCAAGGGCACATGACTGGGGCACTGGGGATCTGGTTCCACTGAAGGTCTTCAAATGAACTTCTGGTCAATGTCAAGACTCAGCACTAGCTCTGTATGCCAATTAAGAAAACTGACCTATTACTCACAGTATAGAGTGTTAAATATTAAACGTTTAATTATGAAAAGCATATCAATTACTTCTTTTTACCTCTTCTTCTTCTTCTTTTCAAAGGTCTAGTGTTGGCTTTTCTTCCTGAGAAAGTTGAAAAACAACGTAAGTGTCTCTGCATTGCAAATAGTAGTGTTTTACAAAACCACCATTCAAATGCAACTTTTCAGGACCCTGTCTAGAACTTAAAGAAAAATATCAAATACTTAGATCAGGAGTCAGGAAGTTTTTTTTTTGTAAAGAAACAGATAGTAAGTAGTTAAGATTTTTCAGTTCATAACCTCTGTTGTGACTACTCAGCTCTATAGTTGTATATGAATGCATCAATAGACAATGTATAAATCAAAGGATGTGACTGTGGCTGTGCTCCAGTTAAACTTTATTTACAGTCAGCAGAATGGATTTGCCCTGTAGGTCATAGGTTGCTGACCCAGATCTAGATTTAGTTACAACCATGATGCGTAACTATTTTTCTCTGAGATGCAGCCTATATAACTAACTGCATCTCTGAGATGCAGCCTATATTTCTCTATCAATATCTCCAAATCAATCCAAATGAATTTGAAACAGTATTTTTACCTGCTTTCCAAGCAACAGGAGAGCAAGAATGAAGTTGAACATGTATTCAGTGCTTGTTGCATGCCAGGAGCTATCCTTAAATCTTTACCGCTATTAACCTACTTTATCTTTAGAACAAAATCTATTAAATAGGCACTGGTATTATCCTCACTTAACAGATGAGGAAATGATGAGGAAATTGATGCTCAGAGCTAAAAATATAAATTAAAGTGTTTACAATTTTCTTTGGGAAAGAGACAGAGATAAAAATCAGCAACATATGGTCTCAGGACATAGCTCATGGTAGACTATACCAGTCAGATACGTAAACTTGGAAGGTTTTGTACTGAAAATGGTGAGGAAAATGACTAAGGACTTAAAAACTAACCCAATGAAGGCTATTCAAGAGGAATTTATGGAAATTAAGGCACAAGGCCTAAGAGTTGTACAGCTAAAGATAGCACAAAGGGTTGACTTAAAAGACATCTCAAGGCTGGCTGCGGTGGCTCGGGCCTGTAATCCCAGCACTTTGGGAGACTGAGGCAGGTGGATTACCTGAGGTCAGGAGTTCAAGACCAGCCGGGCCAACATGGTGAAACTCTGACTCTACTAAAAAAAAAAAAAATAGCCAGGCATGGTGGTGTGTGCCTATAATCCCAGCTACTTGGGAGGCTGAGGTGGCAGAATCATTTAAACCTGGGAGGTGGAGGTTACAGTGAGCCAAGATAGCACCACTGTATACCAGTCAGGGCAGCAGAGCAAGACTCCATCTCAAAAACAAAACAAAAACCTGGAAGCATGTATCTATGTGCTGATTGATGTGTCCAAACAAAGAGCCAGTCATTCCAGATGTATGTTTAGATCTGCATCGTTCAAATGTGTTTGCTGAAGTCAGGGACACAAATTGGATGCTCTTTCTTTCTAAAAGTCTGTGCCCATTATTCTGTGCCCATGGCTGGTATCATAGGGTGCCAATTTGGGTCCTGCAATCCCCAGGAGGAAACCTCCTCCAGATACTCAATTGTGAATGCTCTTTCTTTTGAGCAAATTATGACTAGATTAGGCTGGAAAGGCATTTTTCCTTCAATCTAGCATAAAGAAACGTTGAGATTGATGATAATGTATTTTCTGGGCCCCTGTCATAACAATTACTTAGATATTTGCTTTTTGTTTTGTTTTGTTTTTTACCTCATCAAGATAAAAATGATACCATCAGACATTTACTGATAATTCACATGTCAAGAGGAATCATATCCCAAGAAAAAGCATACTCTACCTCACAAGATGTTGCCATTAGGAAGTTTATTAAAACATTATGGAGATACATGGAGAGGAGAGAATACTAAACTTGCATAAAAGAATTATAAACTTGCCTATTGAATTAAAGAGTATTTTTCTTTTTTGACCGAGTCTTGCCCTCTTGCTCTGTTACCCAGGCTAGAGTGCTGTGGCACGATCTTAGCTCACTGCAACCTCTGCCTCCTGGGCTCAATGTTCTCCTGCCTCCGCCTCCCAAGTAGCTGGGATCACAGGTGCATACCATCATATTCGGCTAATTTTTGTATTTTTAGTAGAGATGGGGTTTTACCATGTTGCCCAGGCTGGTCTTGAATCCAGGGCTCAAGCAATCCACCTGCCTCAGCCTCCCAAAGTGTTGGGATTACAGGTGTCAACTACTGCACATGGCCTGAACTAAAGGTTTAAAAGAAACACGTAAAATGTGGAAACATTGAGAACTCGAGGAAGTAGATGAAGCTTTCTTACCACTCTTTGCTTGTCTCTCAGAAAAAGTTGTTCTAGCTTGATCATTTTCCAAGATCATGATCAGGCCAGGTGTGGTAGATAATGCGGTTGCTACAGGAAAATGTTATCCACACAGGGGTGGCTCTGGTGGGACTCTCCCTCCTGTCACTCATGATGCTCAAGTTGCAGGTGCACCCTGGAAATCTGGCCACTTCTAACTCTTCTCACCTTCCCCCAACTCCCCCTCTTCCCCACAGTCCCATCAAAAGACACCTGTGCTCTGTCTGCTTTCTTCTTTCCCACAGTGTGGTCAAACTGGAGATCCAGCTCTGGCCGTAACCTGGGTCTATTCAGCAGTAGCCATTATTGGTCAATGTATGTTCTCTTGCTTTCAGTCTCTCTCTGTTTAAATCCTTCTCGGACTGCAGGGATTTCCTTTCAATCAAAACCTATTGAGGGCTTCAGGGCAAAACATCAGAAGCTGACTGCACTCCTTCCCAGTTCTTGGCATGAAGACACCTGGGCTGAGGAGCAGATCTTGTAATAAAGTGCTGCAGAACTGTGCTTTCCAGCGGCTATGTGTTCACTGGCTCCAGCACCTCACTACAATTGTACATCCAGGCAGCCGAATGCTGGGCCAAAGTAGGATTTAACAGTTCTTGGGTCTACCAGTCTTAATTCTACATTAATCACATAAAATAATAATATGGTCAGAAATAATTAAAAAATATTTTAAAAAGTATATATTTTTCATAGCAGGGACTAATCATTATTGGCAAAAGAGTTTATCACCATGTTAGGTGATTCTTTAGTTATCTCAGAGTATTGCAGAAGCCTCAACAACCAAGAATGCCACAATAGGAGCCCAGTACTCCTATATCCTAAGGCAAGATGCTAGTCTGTCTGCAAAGAACATGGTAGGGGATTGGGAGCCTGGCTCTGCCAGCATCAGCCTTCTCCACCTCTAGGCTGTAGTAGAGAGGCCACATTTCTCTGGAGAGAATTGTCAGACACCTTCTCTCCAGCCAAATGAGAAGGTTTAAAGACATCTAAGCAGGAGATGGATCTCTGTCCCTGGGAATGTCAGGGAAAGAGAGACTCTCACACTCACCCCTGAGAAGCGTAAAGGTGAAGGTCATGGCTAGTGGGGTCAAGAGTGCCAGAGGGCTGAGCTGAGAGCCAGCAGGGGAATCAATGAAGAAGCACAATTCCCATGGCCTGGTGCAGACCCTGTGGTTGGAGCTGGACTGGGTGTCACTGAGGGAACAGAGTGGGGTGTGTATCTTCCAGAAGGACCATCCAGTGTCTTAATTCCCACCAACCATGGAGAGGCAGTTGCATACACTGCTTCTGCCATTCTAGTGGGAGAATTCATAGCTAAAGGAAATACATATATATATGTAATATATTTATTTCACCATGTTAGGTGATTCTTTAGTTATCACAGAGTATTGCAGAAGCCTCAACATCCAAGAACGCTACAATAGGAGCCCAGTACCCCTATATCCAATGCTTTCTCTCTCTCTCTTTCTCTCTATTCATATATATACATATAATGCTCTTTCTCACTCTTTCTCTCTCTATATATATAGTGCATCTATATATACACACATATAAAGAGTGTATATATATACATATATGCATATAGAGTGTATATATATACACATATACACATAGTGTATGTATTCTATATATATGTGTGTGTGAATATATAATATATATATTCTATATATATTATATATATATGTGTGTGTGTATTTATATGTGTGTGTGTGTGTGTGTGTGTGTGTGTGTGTGTGTATGGAGAGAGAGAGAGAGTACTCCTTCTGCTAAACTGATAACTTTCAAGACTGGAAATAGTTGTTGGCATAAAAATAAAAACAAAACAAAACCTATGTAATTAACAAGTGATGTAGCTGTCCCTCCTCTTGCCCATCACCATGGGGTAATTGTGTAGACTTGGGTCTGCCCCATGTAAATTACGGTTTTACTCATCTGTAAAGTGAAATTAAAGTCAGTTAGACTAGACTGACTGCCCTTCAAGGCCCATCCCAACCATATATATATGGAGAGAGAGAGAGAAAGAGAGAGAGAGAGAGAGATGGGGTGTCTATATGAGGTTATGTGGCCAGAGAAAAAGTTTCAGGTGTCAAAACTCTTTTATATGACAAATTTGTCTGTAAATTTGAGCAGGATGGCAACAGGTCAGCCTGGCAGGAGATGGTGTCTATCTTCTCTGCTTGCCTCCTCCTCTTTCACAGCAGCGTTCTCCTGGCTGAAAGAACAGCTCAGCAGAGTTCTAGAATCATCTGCAAATTGCACGAGGGGAAGCTTTACATTTCAGAGCCTCTGTTTGGTGGAGTTGGGGACTGAAGAGCTGACTTAGTAGAAACAGGTATACATGTCTTAAAATGAACTTGAGGATGCTGAGCTGCCATTCCAACCCTTCCAGCTAGTGACACTGGAGAAGAGACACATTCTACAAGGTTTCTGTGCTGATGCTGCAGGAGAGGGGGCTGTCCATGGTTTTTACCAATTCCTGTAGGAGATCCATGGAATGAGAAGTCACGTAGGAAGCTGGGATGGGCCTTGGAGGGCAGTCAGTCTAGTCTGACTTAATTGCACTTTACAAAAGAGTAAACTGTAATTTACTTGGGGCCGACCCAAGTCCACACAATTACCACATGGTGATGGGCAAGAGGGGGGACAGCTACATCACTTGCGAATTACACCAGTTTTGTTTGTGTTGTTTTTATGCCAACAACTATTTCCAGCCTTGAAAGTTATTGGTTCAGCAGATGGAGCACTCAAGCAGCTTCTGGGCCCTGGGGTCTGTTTGCAGATTCATCACCAAGCTACCCGTTTGTGGCGCTATCATCCGTTTTCCCTGACATATTTTGGAACTTGACTAAATCTGATATATTTCTCAACAGTAAGTACAGCTACATAAAGCAACTAGTTTCTTACTAAGAGCATGAGAATTTAGATGTTACTTATTTAAAGTGTATTTTTTTTTTTTTTTTTTTTTTACCTTTTGGATGCCGTCTTGTCTGTAGGACTTTGTTTTTCCCAGTTAAGTGTTTTCTAGGTCTGCCTCTTTTTCTCCCTGAGAAAATGGAAAAATATAAATACGGATCGTGTATAAAACTAACATTATATATTAGTGCTTTCAAAAATGTTGTTTAGCTGTAACTTTTCCAGAGCCTAACACACAAAGAAAAATATATAACAGATAGACTTGCAATGACCATGCCTTTGATGGTTAACCTGGGTTCATCCTAGATTTCCTTTTCTTTACCGTGACATTAATCCAAATTTATTTGCTCCCCCACATTAATTTTAAAAAGAATTTAAGACAGAGTTTCATTTATATCCCAAATAATACTGTAACAATAATAATTATGAAGACTAACACCTAAGTGCTTATTATGTGCTAGACACTAATATAAGATATTTACACCTACTAATTCATTTATGAGATAGAGACTTCTACTACACTATCACCAAGGAAGAAACTGCAGCATACAGAAATGGCAAAATGAAGGGAAGCATTGCAGATTTACTCTGGTTATGAAGCAGAAACCAATGGCAGCAATGCAAGAATTTGGATTGTCCAGATTATTACGATGGTGAGACACCAGCCACCATCTCAGCCCTCAGTGAAGGTGTTGGCACTGAAAATACAGTGAAAATGACCAAAGATCTTAGTCACATAGATTTGGCCAAAAAATTAGGATCTAAGAAACTAATCATGAGACTATTGTCCACGGGGGATTTGTATAGAGCTTCAAGTCCCAGAAAGCCTTATGGTTAGAAATCCTATCTTGGTAATATGCTCTCAGAGTCAGCAGGTAATGGGGGGTAGGTAGAAAGACAGTGAGGTATGTGCAGGAGCATCCCATTAATGCCATGTTTAAAGGTGCTGATCTCTCAGGCAAGGCCATAAAGTGCACCCTTTCCCTCCCCTCCCCTTTCCATTCTCCTTTCCTTCCTGCCTCCCTTCATCCTTCCCTCCCTCCTTCTTTCCCTCCCCACACCATCTCCTTGTCTTTGTCTTCCCTTCTCTTTCTTTCTGTGGCCTGGCCACAATTTGAACTTGTCCAACCATAGACATCTTAGGCCAACAAAGACTCTGCTGTCCCTCTGTGTCTTTCTCTGGTCCCGTTGTAGTCACCTTTCATCAAAGCCCATTGAAGACAAACAAATTAGAGGTAGACGAGTAGTTTAGTTCAGTTTACTCGAGCTCAACTTACTAGGTTTGGGGCTTAAGATCTGCTAATACTGTAGAGCTCCTGGGACTTCCTTTGTAATTATTCTTTGCAAATTTTCTTGCTCAAATACCCCACAGGAAATAGTGCGGCTATTCTTGGATTTCCTATCTAAATGCTACCATGTTCTTGCTACAGAAGTTGAGTGAAGTGCTCCACCCTCCTTAAGACAAATGAGAAGACCAGCTTCAAGGTAACTGATCTGCACCTTCAGGAGTTTGAGGAAGGCAGAGACATTTATAGACTCAATCCTAGAATGTCAAGAGGGTATGAAGAGTCATAATTCCTATAGGACTCCCTGGGGAAAGAAGGAGCTCACTTAGTTCTTCTTGAGAGATATTCCATCTGGGAGAATCACTTGGATGGATGAGTTGACCCAGGCAGGAGCATACTGTGGACCTCCCAGGGCTGGGAGATGGAGACTGAGGAAATTGGTAAGCAGCCAGTTGAAGTTCCTGAATTAGGGGAACTTCAGTTGAGAGGTTCTCTCTAAGTTGAGTGTCTCTGAAGACCTCACAAATGAATATCGCTCATGCATCCACCATATCTAGGAGACACTAAAATCTATAAGGTTAGTGCAAAAGTAATTGCAGTTTTTGCTATTACTTTTTTTTTTTTAAAGGCAAAACACACAATTACTTTTGCACTAACCTACATAACATGAGTGCCGTTTCTGCTCCTGATCACTTCCTTTTCCTCCTCCTCTTAGACCCAAATTAGCTGAAAGCAACAGATACTGAGTAGAGTTGGAGAGGAAGCGTGGGTGAAAGTAAATGCTGACTTCACCCAGCTTCCCTATCACATAGTTTCCAGTTTTAATATCAGCTCAGGCTTTTTAATATTAAATGAGATATTATTGCTGGCTGGGCGTGGTGGGTCACGCCTGTAATCACAGCACTTTGGGAGGTCGAGGCGAGCGAATCACGAGGTCAAGAGATTGAGACCAGCCTGGCCGACATGGTGAAACCCCGTCGCTACTAAAAATACAAAAATTAGCTGGGCGTCGTGGCACACGCCTGTAGTACCAGTTACTCGGGAGGCTGAGGCAGGAGAATTGCTTGAACCGGGAGGTGGAGGTTGCAGTGAGCCGAGATTGTGCCACTGCATTCCAGCCTGGCGCCTGGCGATGAAGCAAGACTCTGTCTCAATAAATAAATAAATAAATAAATAAATAAATAAAGAGATATTCCTGCTAAAAGGGACTAGCATAGCTCTAGGGATTACCTAAGACTTCATCCATGGGCAAGAAAAGAACTATCTGAGAGAACAGGTTTGAAAAGGAAGTAGGAGAAGGAATAAATGTGATTTCTGCTTAGACTTAACAAATCCAACTATCCCTTATTTCCTAATCAGGGCTGGCATGTCTCTGCCCACATAGCTCTGTAATGCAGCTCAGCTTCCAGCTCCTGTTCTTGCCAAAGAGTCTCAGGTGACAAAAAGGCTGGCTCTGAATCAATGGAGAGTCTGAGTTTTCCTCCTCATTTGAGACAATCAGTGACTTTGGAGGCAAATATGAAGGGCGAGTAGGCATATTGCTATTTGTCACCCATAGTCATTCTTTCTTCCATAAGCATAGACTTACAGCTGAACCCAGGAGGGCCTGGCCAGCATGACATTTTTCAGCCTCACTTTACAGATAGCTCTGGCCATGTGACCAGGTTTTGGCCAATGGGATGCGGGCAGAAGACTTCTGAGTCTTTCTATTAAAATAAATAAGTAGCTGGTTCTTTTGTCAAATTTTTTTTCATTCGCACTGGTAAGGAGACAATGTCAACCAGATCAGCCTCTGTGGACCCACAGTTGGAAACTTTATGTGAAGGAAGGAAGACTTCTGGCCTTTTAGATTATTTGGTTTAAGCCACTGCATTTGGGGATCTGTTTGTTACAATGACTTAGCTGCTACTCTAAATAATCCATTAGGTCTGAAGCCATCATGGCCCATAGGAGATTTTGGGGCTGCAGCAAAGATGGGTCTGGCAGAAAGAATAGGAGCACGGTGAGTTCAAAGGAGTAAATCCCCACATTTCTTCTTACCTTTTTGGAGCCCATTTGCTTTAAATGTGTGTCTTCTCTTTTTTCCTGCAAACAGAAAAGAAAAAAAATAATTCTTTAGAACTATAAACAAAGATTTATGCACTTCATATGTCAATAGTTATCAAGTATTTAATTTTGTTTTCCTTCCACTTTTGTGGGACTAAGTCCTCGGCTACCAACATCCGATCTTGGTAGTTGTCACCCAGAAACCAATGACCATAAAGCAACCTGTTTTTATACAATGCTAGTCATTTACACTATGCTTGTACATATCCATATGTGGTCTTATCACTCACAATAAAGAAACTTTTTTTTTTAACCAGTTGTTTTAGATCAGTATTTTTTTTTTTTTAGACCTGTCATCCAGGCTGGAGTGCAGTGGTGTAATCTCAGCTCACTGCAACCTCTGCCTCCTGGGTTCAAGTGATTCTCCTGCCTCAGCCTCCAGAGTAGCTGGGACTATAGGCACCTGCCACCACGCCCAACTAATTTTTTGTATTTTTAGTAGAGACGGGGTTTCACCATGTTAGCCAGGATGGTCTCAATCTCCTAACCTCATGATCCACCTGCCTCAGCCTCCCAAAGTGCTGGGATTACAGGTGTGAGCCACTGCACATAGCCAAAAAAGATTTTAAGGTAGCTGAAATGAAGCAGAAGCTGGCAGCAGCAGAAGAGTACCAGGAGGGTAAAGCAATAATAGGTCTAAGAAGTCACCAGCAACAGCCAGGCGCAGTGGCTCATGCCTGGAATCCCAGCACTTTGGGAGGCCAAGGAATGTGGATTGCTTGTAGGCCAGTCCTTTGAGACCAGCCTGACCAACATGGCAAAACCCCATCTTTACTGAAAATACAAAAATTAGCCTGAAGTAGCATTTATCTGTAGTCCCAGCTACTTGGGAAGCTGAGGCAGGGCAATTGCTTGAACCTGGGAGGAGGAGATTGCAGTGAGCTGTGATCACGCCACTGCACTCCAGCAGTCTGGGCGACAGGGCAAGACTCTGTCTCAGAAAAAAAGAAAAAGAAAAGAAAAAGAGAAATAAATTACCTGTGAAGTACACTTCTTAGAATTCAGAAGCATGCCTTAAACAGTAAAGCCATAATCACGCTTATAACAAGGAGAACTTAAGAAAGAAGTAGAAAAAAATATCAGAGAAATGATGACAATTTAGAAGGCAAATAAAAGAGATTAGGCATTTCAGAAATTAAAGCGAAGGACAGAAATTGCATAAATAGGAAAAGGAAACAAGAAACTTTAAGAACAATTAAGAAAAATTAGAGAGAAAATAAGCTGGACACAGTGGCTCACACTTGTAATCTCGGCATTTTGGGAGGCCAAGCCAGGTGGATCACCTGAGCTCAGGAGTTTGAGACCAGCCTGGCCAACATAGTGAAACCCCATCTTTATGAAAAATTAAAAAATTAGCTGGCATGGTGGCACACGCCTGTAGTCCCAGCTACTTGGGAGACTGAGGCAGGAGAATCACTTGCCCTGGGAGGCGGAGGTTGCAGTGAGCTGAGACATTGTCTCAAAAACAAAATAATATAAAATAAAAATTAGAGAGAAAATAATTAATGTAAGTGAACAAATTATTGAAATTCCCAAAGAAGAAAATCAAAATATTGGAAGAAATACTTGATGAAAAAGTTTGTGGAGTTATAATATAAAATGAAATATATACATCAAAAGTATCTATCTCTTCACCTTGTCACAGAGAATTGACTCAAAACAGCCAACACCCAGGTATATTTCCAGCAAATTTATTGGAATTTAAAGGTAAATAAAGAATAAAATGGGCAGTGTAGGCAAAAAGTTATTTTCAAGGGAGGAGACTTGCTGGCCACAAAATTTTCCACAGCAGCATTTAACGCCACAGGAAAGTGGAGAAAAACCTATAAGATATTTCTAGAAATACAGAATGAGCAAACTATTTTTCAGGTATAAATAACACAAACAAATAATTTTGAACAGAAAAGTTCCTGGAATGCAGTTTCTGAGTCCTTACTGGGAAAGTTGCTGGAAGATAAAATTCAGCAAATTAAGGTAGAACTGAAAAATCTGGCAAAAGGACCAAAATAAAAGTGACAGATGAAAATATCAAGTGCATATGCTCTGACAATATAGAAATTGTATATAATAACAAAAAAAAGTGAGGAGGAGGGTTGGGTAAAGTGGCTCGCGCCTGTAATCCCAGCACTTTGGGAGGCTTAGGTAGAAAGATCACTTGAAGCCAGAAGCTTGAGACCAGCCTGGGAAAACTAGCAAGACCTCGCCTCTACAAAAAATTAGAAAAAAATAGCAAGCTGTGGTGGTGGACACCTGTAGTTGTAACTACCGGGGAGGCTGAGGTGGAAGGATCACTGTGGTTAGGGGTTGTAGCTCTAACACCACTGCCCTCTAGCCTGGGAGACAGAGTGAGACCCTGTCTCTAAAATAAAACAAACAAACAAAAGACAAGGAAGAGAGAGCAAAAATGGGCTGTAAGCAAGTTCTTTGTTTATTTCATAGGTAGGAGTCTAAAATTCTTGTGTTGACACATCCAAGAGTGGATGAAAGCATAGTTAATGGCTGAAAGGTAAACATAATGGGAATGTCATGGCCTAAAAGCTGGGTAGGAGAGGAAAAAAACTGGACAGCAGAATGGCACACAGGCAGATTTTATAAATCTTCTGGGTGGGAAATTAAAGGGCACTGTCTAAAATAAAGCACCAAAGGAATCATATAAAGGTAATCCTAAAAGTAATCACTGGAACAAAGACACAGATCTTCTTTAAATTGGAAGTATACACCCCTAACCATTGTGAAAATAGGAAATGAGTGTGGGCTGCTTACCCGTTGATTTATTTCAAGGGAAAGACTCAGAGGTGGCTCACATATCTTCTGCTCTGCCCTTGGCTAGAACCTAGTGACTTGGCCAGAGCTAACTGTAAGAAAGGCTGAAAGTATAGTGATTTGGTTTGGCTCTGTGTCCCCACCCAAATCTCATGTTGAATTGTAATCTCCATGTGTCAGGGGAGGGGCCTGGGGGAGGTGATTGGATCATGGAAGCAGATTTTCCTCTTGCTGATCTCATGAGAGTGAGTTCTCACAATATCTGGTGGTGTAAAAATGTGGTACTTCAGCAGCCAGCACTGGAACTCGCAACTGCCTAACATGCTAAGCTTCCTGGGCAGGTGAAATGTGGCATCCATCTCTATAGCTCCAGGCCACGCTTTTCCCCTGCTGGAGTCTGGGAGGTTGGATGGCTTAGTCCCAAGACCTGGCCCCTACAGCCCAACACACTGGCTGTAGCTGACTGTGGCCAGAGTGCCTCTTCAGGCCTAACCCTGACTCATTCTTCCTGCTGGGCAGGGCTTCCCTGCAGGAACTCCAAAAACTGTAGCCAGAGGCTCAGGGACAGAACCCAGATATCCCTGGGCCTGCGCCCTAATAGGGAAGGGTGGCCATAGTCTCTGTGGACCAGCAAACTTAGCCTTTCCTCCTGGTAGTTCTGAGGAATCCAGGCAGCCCGGACAAGTGGGTTTCCCCCCCGCAAAGCACACCCTCTATACCAAGGGACAGCTAATGTGTTTCATTGAATAAAGCCTCCAAGAAATATGGGACTTTGTAAAAAGACCAAAGCTACAGTTGATTGGAGTACCTGAAACAGACAGGGAGGATGGAAACAAGCTGGAAAACACACTATTATCCAGGAGAACTTCCCCAACCTAGCAAGGCAGGCCAACATGCAAATTCAGAAAATACAGAGAACACCACCTAGATACTCCATGAGAAGATCAACTCCAAGACACATGATCATCAGATTTTCCAAAGTCAAAATGAAGAAACAAAATGTTAAGGGCAGCCAGAGAGAAAGGCAAGGTCACCTACAAAGGGAAGCTCGTCAGATTAACAGCAGATCTCTCAGCAGAAACTCTACAAGCCCAAAGAGATTGGGTGTCAATAATCAACATTCTTAAAGAAAAGAATTTTGAACCTAGAATTTCATATGCAGTCAAACTAGCTCCATAAGCGAAGGAGAAATAAAATCTTTTTCAGACAAGCAAATGCTGAGGGAATTTGTTACCACCAGGCCTGCCTTGTAAGAGCTCCTGAAAGAAGCACTAAATAAGGAAAGAAAAAGCTGGTACTGGCCACTGCAAAAACACACCAAAATATAAAGATCAATGACACTATGAAGAAACTGCATCAACTAGTGTGCAAAATAACCAGATAGCATCATGACAGGATCAAATTCACACATAACAATACCAACCCTAAATGTAAATGGGCTAAATGCTCCAATCAAAAGACACAGACTGACAAATTGGACAGAGTTAAGACCCATCAGTATACTGTATTCAGGAGACGCATCTCACATGCAAACACATGCATAGGCTCAAAATAAAGGGATGGAGAAAAATTTACCAAGCAAATGGAAAGCAAAAGAAAAACTGGGGTTACAATCCTAGTCTCTGACAAAACAGACTTTGAACCAACAGAAATCAAAAAAGACAAAGAAAGGCATTACATAATGGTAGAGGAAAAAAATTCAACAAGAAGAGCTAACTATTCTGAATATATATGCACCCAATACAGGAGCACCCAGATTCATAAAACAAGTTCTTATAGACCTACAAACAGACTTAGACTCCTACATAATAATAGTGGGAGACTTTAACACCCCACTGTCAATATTAGACAGACCAACGAGATAGAAAATCAATAAGGATATTCAGGACTTGAACTCAGCTCTGGATCAAGTGGACCTAATAGACATCTACAGAATTCTCCCTCTCAAATCAACAGAATATATATTCTTCTCAGTGCCACATGGTATTTATTCTAAGGCCAACCACCTAATTGGAAGTAAAACACTCTTCAGCAAATGCAAAAGAACTGAAATCATAAAGAACAGTCTCTCATATCATAGCACAATCAAATTAGAACTCAGGATTAAGAAACTCACTCAAAACCACTCAAATTACTTGGAAATTGAATAACCTTCTCCTGAATGACTACTGGGTAAATAATAAAATTAAGGCAGAAATCAAGAATTTTTTTTAAAC